CCCAGTCACAATGCGATGCAAAAATCCCTTCCGTCTTTGCCTTTCAAGCAGCTGTTCACAAGCAAACAAACGCCGTTCGACATCTCTCGGCTTCAATTCATACGGCACCCAATTTCCTTGCTTCTGAATCATTTCCATGGCTTTGAGGTGTTTTGAAATGGCTTATTGAGTCACTCCCAATGATCGTGCCAATTCTTCTTGATTTTGACACGAGTCTTGATCAAGTAATGTCTCCAATTCTGCATCTTCGAAAACCTTCTCTCTTCCACCGCTATGCCGGTCTTCGACGTCAAAATCACCGTTCTTGAAGCGTTGAAACCACTCACGACACGTTCTTTCACTAATAGCGGCCTCACCATAAGTATTTGAGAGCATTCGATGAGCCTCAGCCGCAGATTTCGTCATATTGAAGCAGAAAATTAAAACCTCCCGCAAATGACGAGAATTTGGCTCGTAAACTGACATTTTCAATCGAGAATAACTTTATGATGCAGACACAAATTAACTAATGTTTCTATGGGGTTATGTTGACAGATGCCCAAGTTTATTGTATGACGTCTATGATCTATTTATTTCGACCACCACTTACCGCTAAAGGGCTTATGTGGGTTTTGAGGCTCAAAAAATAGCATATTTTCTTGAATTTTTTTTTCATATAATTAAAAAATTTTTCAATACAAAATTTTATGTACATGAAAGGGTTGAATTTGAACTATATCTAAAAAAATTTTCAGCCAAAAATATTGAAAATTGAGCCGTTGAGAATTGATTTCCGGCGACGCCTCGAAAAAAAGTGCCTTTGTGGTGGTCACGATAACTCGTGATATTTTTATCTGAAATCAAAAAACCAAAAATTTTCTGTTAGTAGATGAGTATAGCTCGTGATTAAACGAAGGATTTTAAAAAATATTAAAATTTGAATTTTTGGCAGAGTTGTAAACAAAAGAGTGAAATTTTTGGTAAAATTTTCAGTACGTTTAGTTTTGTAAAATTACTTCTAATTAATGAAATGAAGAATCCTTCGTTCAATCACTAGTCAATCCAATTTAGAAGAAGTATGCGAAATTTCAGAAAGATCGGTTCATTAGTTTTTAAGAAATCGTGACTTCAAAAATCGTGTTTTAAAAATATCACGAGAAAAACGCGTTTACAGTTAAAAATACGAATAAAACTAAGAAAAAAACTTTTTTTTTAACTTACACAGAATCATCTATTCCTGCACCATATAGCAAAGATCCTGCTGCAGCTGCAATGTCCAAGGCATCCTTTTGTTCCTGCCTGAGACGAGTTCTTGCTTCTTTAGTCCCAGCCTCAGCTTGTTTCTCAGCTATAGCTATTCGAAGTTCATCCTCTTTCCGCGTATATTCATGACTATTTCGGCCAAGTTTTACATCCATTCCACTCCATTAAATGATTTCCTTTTTTTTGGCCTATCTTTTCTTCGAACACCTTCTGCACGATCAACTCTACTTACTTTATGCGGCTCCATTTTTCAAAAAATTCTCTATGAATTTTACAACACACACGTATAACCTCAAAGAAATCTCGTGGCTTAATTCAGCTACAATATTTTCGTAATGTCTAGGAGACCGTTAGCAAGTGAGAGAAGCGAGCGAGAGAGACAAACAGTGACTGAGCAGTTGCCATAATATACCTGTGGCGCTCTCGGTCGGTCTTGCCGAATGGGGGGAATTTCAAAACGCTCTATCTCCTACATTTTTCCTCCGATTGACTTAAAACTCCGGGAAAATATTCTCGAAATTATGTACTTTCAGATTAAAAAAAAAAAACGATTTTTTGAAGGTTCAAAACCCACATAAGCCCTAAAGCCATCTATAGGAAAACGGCGGAAGCAAAGTTGTACACCTAATAATAAAGAAAATACAAAACTGATATGTTAATCATTGGGACATGTATGTTCGATCACTGGGATTACCTTATCAATTGTGCTGATAACGAAGCCCTATAAAACGTCGTTACCGCTGGATCGTGCGTCACAGTTTCTAAATTGCAGTATACCGTGCCACATCGTTATGTGTGACAGTGAGTCAATTCTCACAAGTTGTAATAATACACAATACCAATCATAGAACATATGAGAAAGTTGCAACAAGATATGTGCTATAGTATTTATGAATCGGCCGATTCTTTACGCACGTCACGAGCAAGCGGTATACGCATCGCCACACGCATCGCAACAGCCGCACGCTTGGTGACAAGCGACGACGGGTGTCCGATCCAACGTCACCCGCGGTTCTTCCTCTGAGGACCACCAATCGATTATACAGAGAAAAACAATTCACATGTCGGATAAGCTCTGCGCAAGTGTATTGTGAGAATTACAAGGATATGTTATATCCCGCGCAAATGACGGTATGATGGAATTCGTCGTATCTTTATTCGACATTAACCCTCCGAGAACACACTGGGTCAATTTGACCCTTACCTCAACGTTGATCATGAATATGTTGAAGGCATTTTGAGAATTGGCGGGATTGACGCCCTCTAAAATCACGATTGTTTCTTGTAAATTACAATTTTTACAAAAAAAAATTTTTTTTGAGAATTTTTTTAGATATGTTAATAATTATAATGACATTTTTAATTTATTTTACGTGATTTTTCTATATCTCAGGTATATCTAGAAATTTTTTTAAGCTAATCGCACACGTCGTTTTAAAATGGCGGACCCTCAAAGTTAGCGTAGGGTCAGATTAACTCTATGCTTGAAAAAATAAGTGTGTTCTCGGAGGGTTAAAGATGCTTACGTGGAAGGTGCGATGAATAACGTATTCAGCAGTTTGAAAACGATCACCCAATTCAACAAGGTGAAATGATACAATCACTGTCGGAATTGAAAAATATGCGACTGGACAAGAAACGAGAGCTGGATGCTGATTATGAAAACGTTCAACAAAAAATTGACACGCTTCTCAAAAACCGTAAAAGAAAAACGAAAACAGATGTACCAGTAAAAAGCCACATACAACCGATCACTCACCAATGACATTTGTGGTCGAAGTATTTCCGCATATGACGACGTGGTGATGGCTGCGGGAAAAGCCGGTCGCGAGAAACGAGCGGATATTGCGAAAACTACGAGTTTGTTCTGATGACTGCGAAGACGTCAGCGGAAGACGATCGCGTTGCCAATGATATTTGATTTGATGATTGTTTTTCTCTGTATAATCGATCAATGGTCCTCAGGAAGGGAACTTGGATCAAACACCCCGTCGTCGCTTGTCGCCAAACGGCTGCTGCGATGCGTCGTGACGTGCGTAAAGAATCGTAAAGAGTCAATTCATAGATACTATTGCACATATCTTGTTGCCACTTTCTTATATGTTCTATGATTGTTCTACGATTGTGTCGGCAACGCGATCGTCTTCCACTGACGTCCTCGAAGTCATCAGAGCACTCGTAATTTTCGCTATCGCAACATCTATTCATTTCTCGCGATCGGCTTTTCCCAACGCCGTAGCCACCACCACGTCATCATACGCGGGAACATTTACTTCGACCACAGATTGGCGAGTGATCGGTTCTATGCGATCTTTTACCGATATATCTGTTTTCGTGATTATGGCGGTCATTTTTCTATTTTGATTACGGTTCTTGAAAAGCGTCGATTTCTTGTTGAAAGTTTTCATACTCAGCATCCAGTCCTCGTAGCTTGTCCGGATCCAGTCCCACAATTCTTAATTCAAACAGCGATTGTACCATGGATTTCACCTTGTTGAATTGGTTGATCGTTTTCAAACAATGAACTGCTGCCGTCAATACGTCATTTACCGCACCTTCCACGTAAGAGTCTTTAGTGTCGAATAACGATAAGACCAGTTCCATCATACCGTCATTTGAAATATAATGCCACATCCTTGTAACTCTCGAACATCCTTTCGCAGAGCTTATCCGATATGGAGATTGTTTTTCTTTGTATTGTAGAACTGCAGGCGAGAAAAGGCTTGATTTCGATAACACATATGGTTTTCAAGAAATATATTTATTTAATATAATAAAGTTGCTCACACGGCCCTCACAATTCTCAACTCGCACGACTCTCTTTCTCTCGCTTATAATAAATGCATTATGCATAAATACATAAATTCGCCGCTCGCATTATACATTTATAGTGAGTTCAAAAAGTTTTCGTACACTAGGAATTTTCACAGAAAATAATTTATTTCTACATGATAATGAATAATAAACAAATAATCGTTTCTACATATGATAAAGTCTCTCTTTCTTAACAATATACCAGAAACGAAACCTATAAATTAATAAATATTATATTCAAAAACGATAAAAGAACAAAATATGGTAATTTAGTAATGCACAGAAAGTGTTGGTTCACCAATGATATCTGTGATAAAAACTTATCTTAGATAAGGAACACATACATCGTATATTTACATTCCTTGTCTATTTATATTTGGGCCTTCGGTTTTATATATTGTTGCGTTCACGCTTGCACTTGCGATCGCGCACGGGAGGGAATAAATGTAACACTTTCTATAAAAACGAGAAGCTTTTACTATTTACAGCGATTCACAATTAAACGAGTTACAATACAATCTATACACGTCCGTTCGCAACCACGGCTAGCTGTCAACTCTCTCATGTCAGCTGTTGTTTATTTTTCTTGACAACCCATCGTCAAGGAGCACTTGTCATCCTAGACCATCGGGTGTCTATACATATTTCAAAGGTACGGGCGCGACAATATTGACGCGAAATTTCACAGTCGTTCTCTACTTGATGAAAATGGATTGAACAAGAAGCGAGACTACCGCGGAGGAAAAACAACTTATTATTAGACTGCATAATCAATGCAAGTCATTAAATGAAATATCAAAACTGATTGGGAGACCGCATTCTACAATACAGAGTATTATTAACCGCGTTGACAAGACCAGAACAGTAAAGAACAATGCAAGAAGCGAACGCCCGTCTGTTTTGTCGGACAATGATAGGCAATTTATCATACGTCAAATTAAAAAAGATCCGAAAACTAATGCCCCCATGATAGTTGCGGAATTGCTGAAGAGACAAGTCAACGTCTTTGTAAATACAGTGAAGAATATATTACACAAAGAGGGATACTATGGACGAGTAAAAGAAGTGCTGGATTAATGAGACCAACCGCAAGAAGCGTTTAGAGTTCGCTCGTGAGTATCAAACAAAACTTCTAGAATTTTGGAATAAAGTCATTTTTACGGATAAAAGCAAGTTCAATTTATTTGGATCGGACGGGAACCAAAAGGTGTGGCGTCAGAAAAATGCTGAACTTCAGCCGAAAAATTTGATACCTTCTGCAAAACATGAGGTGGCTTTGTGCTACTTTGGGGCTGTATGAGTGCTTCTGATGTAAGAAATATTCATTTCATCGATAGTATTATGGATCACAAAGCGTATATAAATATTTTGAAGAATAATCTCCATACCAGTGCCGAAAAAATGGGGTTCCCAAATGATTTTATATTTCAACAGGATAATGACCCCAAGCACACAACCACAAATACTAAGTTATGGCTCTTATATAACACATCTAAACAGCTCTCCAATCAGCTGATTTAAATCCTATAGAACATTTGTGGAGCCTTCTAGAAAATAAAATAAGAAAAATATATATTTCAAGCAAGAATGACTTAAGACAAACACTACAAGAGGAGTAGAATTCAGAATTACAGAATCTGAATTGGTTCATTCTATGCCCAAACGTCTACAAGCTGTTATAAAAGCTAAAGGCTATCCTATAAAGTATTAATCTGATTTTGTTTTTTTCATTTTGCTTCTAGTCAGAATATTGTACGAACATTTTCTGCGCATTACTAAATACCATATATCGTTCTTTTGTCGTTTTTGAGTATAATATTTATTAATTTATAAGTTTTGTTTATGATATATTGTTACTAAAGAAAGACTTTATTGTATGTAAAACTGATTATTTGTTTATTACTCATTATCATACGGAAATAAAGTATTTTCTGTGAAAATTCCTAATGTAGAAGAAACGAAGATTTTTTGGACTCACTGTATATTCATTTCTAAATCCTGTTGGCGAGATTCTATCGGGACATTCTGTGTGAGCACAATTACGCAGAAAAAGCATACCCAAACATGAGCCGATCAGCTGATCAAGCTCACGGCGCCAAAACATTTCACGCTCGCTGTCACGCGCCGCTCACGTGAGAGCTGGCTTCTCAACAGTGTGGCCAGAAATTTCGACCGATAACACCGATAGCAGAGGAGATGACGCACACAAATGTGCCCGTGTACGTGTACGCTCCGAACTGAAGCCAACGGCACACGGTGCTTGTTTTTGTGCTGGATTGCTTCCTGGATGGAAATATTCTGTTTTGATTGGTGCATTTCCAGAAATCCACCTTCAAAAATGCATTAATCAAAACAGGGTATTTTCATCCAGCAAACAAATCAGCACAAAAACAAGCATCGTGTGAGAAAAAAGTATATCGGAAACCGGAGTCTGCTGGGCCGAGACTCGAACCCGGGTCGCTTGCCGGGCGACTGCTCTAAACCACTGAGCTACCCAGCCTCCAACACACTCTCTCTCGGCTTCTTATTGATGTTATTGTCAAGATGCCGCGTGTTACCTCAGTTCGGTTTACATCCTACAATCGTGTGCCGCTGGCTTAAGTTCAGAGCGCACACGTTTATGTGCGTCATCCCCTCTGAATGTTACCGATGCTACCATGCAAGATTTCTGGCCACTCTGCTTCTCAGTCGACGCGGCATTCTCTGAATCTATTTATCCTTTTTGTTTAAAGTCACAAATATCCTATAGTATAATCGATCCGTAGCCAGGAGGAGGGAGGAGGGCAAGAACCCAAACAACGTTAGATCGGACACCCGTTGTCGCTTGTCGCCACACTATTAAATTTAAACCAATTTCTTGAGTTAAATAATATTTAGTTATTTTTAACTATCATGTGTGTCAAAATTTACTATTTTAAAACAAAACTTGTGTTTAAAAAAACAACCATACCTAATCAACCATTTAAAACAATATTAAGTCATTTTTTACTAAAACAAAGGTTACATTAACGTGCACATAATAAAAAATAAACTAAATTTTAGTCAAATTTAATACATTTTTTAAGTTAAATTATTTAACTCCATTACATGAGTTAAATTAACGACATATTTAGTAGGAGCAGTGGCGACTTATAGGAATGGTTAAAAATAACTCAAATTGAGTATAATTTGACACTACAGATTTAACAGTGCAAACATGTGAGCAATTTTATTACATTAAATAAATATATATATTGAGGACCGTGTGTGTTATCAGGTCTTTTCTCCCCTGCAACGTTACAATACAAAGGAAAACAATCGCCACGTCGGACAAGCGTGTGGTTGCTGCGATGCATGCGGCTGTTGCAATATGTGCGGCGATGCGTGCATCTCTCGCTGTCATGACGTGCGTAAGGAATCGGTCAATTCATAGATACTATTGCACATATCTTATTGCCACTTCCACATATGTTCTATAATTGTTATTGTGTATTATTACAAAATGTGAGAATTCACTTACAGCGATGATATTTACGGAAAATCCATCGTGGATTCCATTGGAGACTCTAAGATTGCAACGAAGATCAAACATTTTGCCATCATATCGCAACAGCAACGAGCAAATGTTGCGACAGCGAAAATTACGAGTGCTCCGATAACTGTGGATGAAGACAATCACGTTGCTAATGTCTACGAACAATCTATCGAAGATGCTCTGATGAAGCTGCAAGATGCTAGAAATCGTCGCAAAAAGAATATTGACAATGGCGACGAACCAACCATCAGACATTTTGCCGTCCTATCGTAGCAATCAGCGCGAGACGATGGTAAGATAATAACATTTTCTATCCATTTTTTTATCGAAGTTGGAATGGCTGAAAATGATCTGATTTCAGAATGTAGAAATTACTTCATGGCGTTATTATTAAACTTCGCAATTAAATTACATTCGTAAACAAGCGTGCACGGCGCGTGTAATGTCTCTGGTTTGGAAAATGTTATTAAACGTACTTCGCAATATCCCATAACAGAATGTGTATTTACAGTGCAAACTTTGCAAACGGCGAGCACTCGCAGCACTTGGAAATACACGTCCGCAGCTGGCCGTGTTATTACGTTCGCCGCGATAAAATGAAGTGCATCCGCTAAAATTCATCTCGGTCACGCGAGAGAATGACTATTGATCCTTCGCTACCTGACGAAAGTTTCAAGGATCCGCCAAGCCCACCCGCCTCTCGGCACGTAATTAAATTTTCACGAATTGACCGTTCATCGAAGCTTCCTTACCATGGTGTTACGCGGAATTATATCGAAATGTCGACGACCTGACGTTTCCCGCGTTGCGGAAAAAGAATGAGCGAACGAGAGAGAAAGAGAGAAAGGGACACGTTCCGAAGACGATGGAAATCGAGCACCTACTTTACATTCGCCATTCGAAACTGGATCAGATACAGGACGATTTAGGTAAACGTCTCGACTGAATCCGACCCACGCTTCCTCGGATAACACTCAGACTTTACGTTGTCCCGTTTCCGTCGTCCTTTCAGTTTTTCTTTTTTTTTCAGATTTATTCGGCATACACAGTAAAGCCTTCTTCCGAGAGATCTACGTTTACGTGTATTCCAAATATATCATGGATATTCGTCGAGCGTTAAACGCGCGCTTCTAACAATTGGAAATTATCTTCGGCATGAGACTAAAAAGATCGTAATCCTTTTCGACATTTTTAACTGCACGCTTAAGGGGATGCTGAAGTCGAAATATTTACCGATAGAATGCTGATCTTTTTCTGCAAAGTTTACGTTGTATTGGCTGCACAGAATTACAAATGCTTTTGCACAATAAAAATACGTGCGAAAATGAATTAGAGCGTTACTCAATATATGACAAAAACGATAAAAGATTTCAAAGTTAACATTCCCAATGTAAATTAGCTTGTCAGTTAAAGTAAATATTCGCCTGATAAAAAATATCTGTAACTTGTATATAGAGTGTCCAGTAACTTACGGAGAAGCCGCGGTGTACAGGTAGATTAAATGAACAAAAAATTTCCCTACCATTTTGCGAACAACCACGTAAAATTTTGAGTTATTACTCCAAGAAGATTCGTGAATCACGTACCATATGGTAGATAAGACGTAATGACGACTTCTGCCGCTATATGCTTGTATATTAGATCAAATTAAAGGAAAAACTCCCCCTTTATCATTTTGCAAATAATCATATATACATGTTCGGTTATTAATTAAAAGAAGATTAGAGTATAGTCGTGCGCAATAATACACCAATCTTCTTTAATTATCAGCTATTCTGACTTCAAAGAAAAAATGAATAAGGTAAAATTACCGAATGACGCCACTGACCCAAATAGCACCTTAATTTGCTTTATGCGCATAATAAAACACAGTTGATTAAATGTTCAAAGAATTCCCTGAAAGCAATCGTGAATATCAAATAGCTCAATCAAAGTAAGTATATGAAAATATAACATTATTTTCTGTGAAGGCATTTCAAAAGCTCATATCAAGAATCTGTCACCTTTGATTATTTACAACTGAGCTTGTTCTTAAGTGTCTATTACAGTAATATAACCTGTAGAATGATAAAAAAGATATTAGATGATAAAATGAGATATTTTGGGGTTGTAATACAAAACAAATGTTTTAGTTTTGTATGATTAAGATGAATTTAACTGAATTAAAAGACAATAAAATAGTAAGATATTATACAATTATATGGTTTTTGTATAATAGAGATGGCGGATTTATGTGCACGTAAAAAGCATCATGTACACAAATCTTCCATAGATATAGAATAACATTTTAAAACAAATTAGTAGGAGTTAAGATGCTTATTATTTTGAATTAATAAATATATATTTGAATAGATAACAAGTGTAAAAATTTCATTTTCTTTACTATAATTATCTATATTGAAAACAGATCAGGTAAAGTGGCGTAATTCGGGACATTTGCAGTTCACACTTAATTCTTGTGTACATATAAATAATTTTGTTTATTTCCAACTTTTAAATGTTTTTTTGCTAATTTACAATATTAATATTAGATAAAATTCATTGTCTTACTTAGTACCACTTTATTTTTTTTAATAATCTCTTAAAAATTAGTCTTTGCTTAGAATGGTGTAATTCGGTACGTTTACTTTAGAAAATATTATTACTATCGTCTTGCGATGGTTGCTGCGATACGACGGCAAAATGTCTAATGGTTGGTTTGCCGCCATCGTTACCATTCTTTTTGCGACGATTTTCAGCATCTTGCAGCTTTATCAAAGTATCTTCGATAGATTGTTCATAGACATCGGCAACGTGGTTGTCTCCATCCACACACATGTCAGTCATCGGAGCACTCGCTGTTGCAACACCCGCTCGTTGCGATGTGATGGCAAAATGTTTGACCATCGTTGCAGTCATAGAGTCTTCAAGGAAATCCTCAATAGATTTTTCGTAAATATCATCTACCTATATACACGTGATTCCTCCATGAATTACCCCTGTATATTAAATGCGCGAGTTTCCTCTGCTCAGAAAAATTTCAAAGAAAATTTTAGAATACATATAAATTTGGAAATTTAAAAACATCGGAAAAATTTGCAGAAAGATTTCTGTACTAATGTCGTTAGGTTTTCCGCCATATATGGTAAAACCATGAAGGTAAGAAATAACAGGAGAGAATGTAAAGCTTTTTAGGTAGTGAGTGTAAATATGCTATGTCATTGGTTGGCTACAGTAATATGACGTTTTGTACTTTATTATCGCGCTTTGATAGACCACACCAATATGGCACATATTGTTCCCCTCTTACGTCTTCTTAGACAGGCCAAGGAGGGAATATCCTCCCTCCTGTTATTATTTCTTACCTCCATGAGTAAAACAAAGTAACAATAAAACAAGTACATTCTCGCAAAATCTATATATACAAAACATACGGAAAGAATAACGTGATTGGGTTAGTCATGATCGATTCTGTTATTGGCATTTTTGGAGTTCATCGATTCCAGCATCCCTTTAAGGGAATGCCATACTTTAGAATTTTATCGACAAAATACTAACTTTTTCGAGTAAAGTTCACGCCGTATTGATTGCACAGAATTATAGATGCTTTTATACAATAAAAGCAAATAAATAAATAAGTACTATCCAGTAAACACAAAGTATTATCGATGTTACAATGTCAGCTCAATCATATGGTATATTATGTAACTGTTACTTTGTCATATAACAAAGTAACAGTTACATAATAAGCCATATGATTGAGCTGACATTGTAATATAGATGATACTTTGTGTTTACTGGATACAATTTAAAGAATTTCTCAAAACAATGAAACATTTTACAATTTGACATCTCGAATTGTCAGTTAGCTTAAATATTTGCCTGATGTAAAAGTGGTGCCTGTATGTACCAAACGTGCGTTTGCTCCGTCCAAAAAATTTTTGAATAACATTTCAACACATTTTGCACATTCTGTATGGTAAAATAATGCAGTACGCACTTATGTAAAGTCTATATATACGTATGAAATATAAAAAGCGTAGCGTGATCGTATTAATATGACATGTCGTTTGAATAATCACCTCTACTTATCCACATTTTTAGATGTTTGTCATTCATTTCAGCATCCCTTTAACATATGTACAACGAATAAAATATATTTCAATCAGAGAAAAAGCATAGCAGCAATTAAATATAGCAAAAAAATAAAGCGGCAAATATACAGTGTGTCTGATAAATAGCTACAAAGCGGCGATTATACAGGCAGATTAGATCAAACTGAAATTCCTCTACTATCTTGCGAACAACCTAGTAAAATTTAAAATGCTGTAGCAAATTATCGGATACTATAAAAATGATAACTGTACGAGTTTTGTATACAGAAAAAAAACTCATTTTGTGTAACGAGAATCAGTTAAAAAGCTCGCTAACGAAAAATAATATCTCTGTTACTGCACTGAGGAAAAAATTAACCTTAATTTCAACAAATATTTCTGTGATGGGTGCCATTAACATATTTAGTTAAATCTAAATTCTCTTTATTTAAACCAAATATTGTTTACTTAAATTAGGTAAACAATATTTGTTTTAAATAAAGAGAATTTAGATATAACTAAATATATTAATGGCATCCATTAAAGAAAGATTTGTTGATTTTAAAGTAATTTTTTCCTCAGTGTGTGACCGAAAACATTCGTCTGAACATTCAACTACGTTAAGACTCGGTTGAGAAAATTGAAAAGTAATTGGCTAAGTAGAATTTTCTTACAAGAATCTCTTCATATTCCTCTGACCGAGCTTTTCATTTGGTTCCCAAGTAACAAAAAATTCAGTTATACTAACAAAACCGATTTTCCTATACATAACGTGAGTCACTAACTATTGCCACTTTATCTAATCTTGTATAACCTCAAAGCAAAAAACATAGGTGATCTTAAAATCCTCAAAGTTAACCTTCCTAGAAAAAGAAAAGCGTAACCATAAGAAGTTCTTTTTCCTAAATAAAATAGTTTCAAAAATCTGAGGATCGCCTTTGTTTCAAAGATAATCAATAGTTATTGACTTACTCCGTATATAGCTATCACTACTAAATTTTTTTGTTTAAATGCGCGATAAACTCGTATAGGATTAGGTAAACGCCAGGCATATGCGAGACCATCGATAGCGAGAATGGAAAGTGCGAAGGTGCCTTCCCAAGATTCGAACGATAGATTTTGCGAACTGAATTATTACATTTGTAGGAAGTGCAACGTACAATTATCGCCGCGAGCGACCTGCCTGTTTCATTGTACTCTTTCTATCCGCCACCCTTTGTATCTGCCACTCGAATCGCATCGGTCTGAAAATATTTGCACGCTCGAGGCTCTTATATGTACGAGCACACGAGTGATACGCGTTTTATTTATGACGGATTAGACAGCGTGCAGCGATTGTTCGTCGCTTCGGCGATTTTATAAGCTCCATACAGGAGAAGTGTTCCACTCTCTTACACGAAATTACAAATGTCAATACACGACGAATTTTTCTCACGAATACGGAGACAATTGATACGGTGCGACATGCAAACGCATAATTACAATGTCACAGGTGTTCCCCTCCATCGTAACGCTACCTAAACGCAAATTTGTTTTCTATCCACCATGTTTCCAACAGTTGCTGCTTCTTTACCCCCGGGGGAACAGGTGAGATGGGGGCGTACGACACAGGAGAAGGAAAAAAAAGACGAGGCGAACAGCTTCATCCGGCGCAGCCGGGCGGAAAATAGCTAATATTCTAAGACATCGGCGACATCGCGAGCGAGATGGGGCTTCCAACTGGCGGCTTTCCGTGCGTATATATACTTCGGAGCAGACTATTTCCCCTTTCCCCTCCGCCGCGCCTCTGCCACTTTCCTCCGCGGCCACTTGCACGCGAAGCTCCAAAATTTACCAACGACGAACGACGGTAATATCGCTCGCAAGCTCGTTCTGACATTTCAATCTGATTCAAGCCCACGAAATAACGAAGGAGCGTTTCTCTTTTTCTGAACGCGGATCGCTGCCTTCAAATAGATCCGGGTCAAAGCACAAAGGTATCCTGATGAACTTTCGCTCAGCTAACTTTGAAATCCCTTCGCTGCAACGCGGAATATAGCGACGCCCGGCGATGAAATTAATTAGAAGCGTCTAAAGAGTAGGCTATTTCGCGAAAGACCGATTCTTAATACACGGGACATTTCAAGAGGCCAAAATTCAAGATACGAGATTACGGGTACACGCGTATATGATGAGAAATTTTACGGTGAGAGCTGTATAGTGTGATTGTTTTAACGAATTATAAAATTTTAATTGCAAGAAGTAACTATGCCACATAGGTTGATTTATACGGGTCCCGAATTCGACCCATGGCCAATCAACGGAGTGGGTAAGTAATAAAATGATGCCGGTCAGTGGATAATTTAAGGGAGGATGCGGCAACGTTTATGAACTTTGGTTAACTGCTGGTAAGCCCGTTTCATGGCTCGTTAGGGCTCCGTTGGCGTATTTCATTACATAAATATCGTGGCACAAAATCCAGGGCCGTCCTCCTTTCATTTCTTCATAACAAAAAAATTTAATGGGGTTTCTCACGTGGACGGAATGTTTCCTCTGCCAAAACATACTCTTAAAAGAGATCCAATGACTACGTGCTCTCCTATTCTTTTTAACGCAGGTCTTGGGAGTAATTTTGAAAAAAATATTTGAGCAACATATTACAATTAATATTAATAATATTTAAAATGCTGATAAAATGTTAACTTTCAAAGTTCGTCAGCTTGATGGGAATTCTTTCCTTTTTATCGAACGCAGCAAGTTGAAGAGAAAGAATGTGTTTTATCCAATAAGGAAACATTCAATAATTGATACCATGCTTCAATAATTTAAGAATTTTGAATCATAAATATAATTTATAAGAAAGACATAACACAACATGTCTTCTTTATCACTGATATTTACGATCCAATATTCTTGAATTATTGAAGTGTAGCATTAATTAAGCAATGTGGACAAGTTTGAATTGTTAAATAATTAGTATTTTATTGTCGTACACTTTTTATGTTCTATCTATCAGAATGATTGCTACTATTTTCGTTAAAAGTTACAAAGGCGACAGTCAGTTTTGCTTACGCAAAACCGGCGCAAGTTTCTTTTAATTTCCGGTTTCAAATAAAATTTGTTGCCCGACAAAATGTCCGTAACTACATAACGATGATTAAGTACAAAGCCATAAATCTGTCTACATTTGGAAATCGATTAACGGCAAGGAATATTTCTCCCGTCCAGCCTGCTGTAGCTTATATACTCGCATGTACGTGTAAAGTTTTGAGAAAGTTACTGTTGTTGTAAGCGATGCGTCTGTGGCATCTGTAGCAATAAATATAGCCTGTCGACAAAATAATCGATAACATTTTTAAGAAAAACGGACTTCATAAAATGACGGAAATATAATGGCTAACTTATGTTTTCACAATTGCGATATAGAGTATAAAATAGCCGAATTATTTTTCGCAATCATCAGTATTCTACGAAGCATGAAGGCAGTTGTTATTCTGTTGGCGGTCGCCGTACCGTTGGCAGTCGCCTTTCCCGGCGGCCTACTCGGTGGTCTCCTAGACATTAATTTACTTGGCAATGGCTGCAAAGGCAAACATAAGTCACTGGTACATTTAAATGCATTTTCTTTTATTACCTTGTACAACAAGATACAATACACCCATTAAACATATTACATATATCATTGAATTTATGAAATATGTCATTTCATCTAAACTATACACAAAAATCAAATGTTATTCGTTATAATTATTATCATTTGTACCGACCGTAGATATCGTTAGGCATCTTGAATGGCAAAAAATCAGGATGCAATTATGGTAAGCAAGAAGTATCTTATATGATATAATCAATAACCTATCAATATATGATATCATTAAACAACATTGAATATTCTCCTGAAGGAGGTTATATCACTGCAAACGGCGGAGGAGGAGGCAGCGGATCAGGAGATGGTAGTGGAGACGGAAGCGGATCAGGAAGTGGCGGTGGAGACGGAAGCGGGTCAGGAAGTGGCGGTGGAGACGGAAGCGGATCAGGAAATGGCGGTGGAGGCGGAAGTGGGTCAGGAAGTGGCGGTGGAGACGGAAGCGGGTCAGGAAGTGGCAGTGGAGACGGAAGCGGATCAGGAAATGGCGGTGGAGGCGGAAGTGGGTCAGGAAGTGGCGGTGGAGACGGAAGCGGGTCAGGAAGTGGCGGTGGAGACGGAAGCGGATCAGGAAATGGCGGTGGAGGCGGAAGTGGGTCAGGAAGTGGCGGTGGAGACGGAAGCGGGTCAGGAAGTGGCAGTGGAGACGGAAGCGGATCAGGAAATGGCGGTGGAGGCGGAAGTGGGTCAGGAAGTGGCGGTGGAGACGGAAGCGGGTCAGGAAGTGGCGGTGGAGACGGAAGCGGATCAGGAAATGGCGGTGGAGGCGGAAGTGGGTCAGGAAGTGGCGGTGGAGACGGAAGCGGGTCAGGAAGTGGCAGTGGAGACGGAAGCGGATCAGGAAATGGCGGTGGAGGCGGAAGTGGGTCAGGAAGTGGCGGTGGAGACGGAAGCGGGTCAGGAAGTGGCGGTGGAGACGGAAGCGGATCAGGAAATGGCGGTGGAGGCGGAAGTGGGTCAGGAAGTGGCGGTGGAGACGGAAGCGGGTCAGGAAGTGGCAGTGGAGACGGAAGCGGATCAGGAAATGGCGGTGGAGGCGGAAGTGGGTCAGGAAGTGGCGGTGGAGACGGAAGCGGGTCAGGAAGTGGCGGTGGAGACGGAAGCGGATCAGGAAATGGCGGTGGAGGCGGAAGTGGGTCAGGAAGTGGCGGTGGAGACGGAAGCGGGTCAGGAAGTGGCAGTGGAGACGGAAGCGGATCAGGAAATGGCGGTGGAGGCGGAAGTGGGTCAGGAAGTGGCGGTGGAGACGGAAGCGGGTCAGGAAGTGGCGGTGGAGACGGAAATGGATCAGGAAGTGGTGGAGGAAAAGGTGACGGAGGAGGAAGTGGCGGAGGAAAAGGTGGCGGAGGAGGAAGTGGCGGAGGAAAAGGTAGCGGAGGAGGAAGTGGCGAAGGAGAAGGTAGCGGATCAGGAAGTGGCGAAGGAGAAGGTAGCGGATCAGGAAGTGGCGAAGGAGAAGGTAGCGGATCAGGAAGTGGCGAAGGAGAAGGTAGCGGATCAGGAAGTGGCGAAGGAGAAGGTAGCGGATCAGGAAGTGGCGAAGGAGAAGGTAGCGGATCAGGAAGTGGCGAAGGAGAAGGTAGCGGATCAGGAAGTGGCGAAGGAGAAGGTAGCGGATCAGGAAGTGGCGAAGGAGAAGGTAGCGGATCAGGAAGTGGCGAAGGAGAAGGTAGCGGATCAGGAAGTGGCGAAGGAGAAGGTAGCGGATCAGGAAGTGGCGAAGGAGAAGGTAGCGGATCAGGAAGTGGCGAAGGAGAAGGTAGCGGATCAGGAAGTGGCGAAGGAGAAGGTAGCGGATCAGGAAGTGGCGAAGGAGAAGGTAGCGGATCAGGAAGTGGCGAAGGAGAAGGTAGCGGATCAGGAAGTGGCGAAGGAGAAGGTAGCGGATCAGGAAGTGGCGAAGGAGAAGGTAGCGGATCAGGAAGTGGCGAAGGAGAAGGTAGCGGATCAGGAAGTGGCGAAGAAAAAGGTAGCGGATCAGGAAGTGGCGAAGAAAAAGGTAGCGGAGAAGAAAGTGGCGAAGGAGTAAAGAGCGCAGAAGGAAGTGACGTAACAGATACTGGATCGACAAAGTCTGGTAAGACAAAGGGTTCGAAGGGAGGAATAAGCGGTGTTAAATCCAGTGCCAGTAGTGTCGCCTCTAGCGTGAGTAATGCTTTGTCTGGCAAAAGCGGCGCAGTAGCGAACGCGGCTTCTTCTGCTGTTGCTGAAAGTAAAGGGAAAGGAAAGTCTGTTGCGACAGCAGCTGCAAGTGCGACAGCAACAGCAACATCGACCGGTAATAAGAAATGCGATGGCAATGACGAAAACGGGGGAAAGAAATGTGAGGATAAATCTGAATCGTCGGCGAGTGCTAAAGCAGACGCTGTAGCGGAATCCAAAGGAGGAAAGAGTAAGGCATCGGCAGATGCTAGTGCTGCTGCCTCAACAAAATCGTAAAAGAAGAGTAAATAATCGGAAAATTCGGGAAAGAGTAACGATTCGGCAATGTATGACAAGTAAATTGGTAAATCCGGGAAGGGTTCATCAGAGCTTCATTTTTTAGCTAGTGCGAACGCAAACATATCTACATAATCTAAAAATAAAAATGGAGCAGAAAGTGAATCTAACACTACGTCTAGAATCAATTCCTCCACATCCGGTTCGGAAGATAACGAAAGTTAAATATTTTCACAGCGTTTGGGAAAGCAGATGCTGTAACACCCGCGACTGCAAAAAAAGAAGATAAAGCCAATGCTTTTACTAAAACTGTTGCAAAAAGTCGAAATTCGATACAATAACATTAAATAAAATTGTTGCGTATACCGAAACGGATATTTAATACGTATATTTCATTTGAAACGTATATTTAATTTGAAAGCAACATTAATGGCATTGAATATTCTATATTACGTATCTTTTCATGTGCATAGTGAATACTACATACGCATCGATGCATTCTGTAATATTCATTCAATTACTATTCAGTTACTCATAATAGTAAAAGAGTACACCACCTCGTAAATAATTTTGGTCGCTTAATGTATTACACATCAAACGGAAGAATTATCTTTTTTGCACGTGACCAAAGTGCATTTTTCTGCATTAACGCATTAATTACTTTAGCTTAACTTTAAATATATGAAACTATCTTAATAATTTTATTAAAATAATTGTGATTATTTTACGTATTCCATTCATACTCGTGATAATTGCAATAAATTGACGAAATAATATTCGGAATGAGATGAACACTATTTGTATGATAATAGATTTCCAAAACACCTATCTTGTCAACGTACGTTACTATATGTAAGTTAAATTTAATATATAACATAATTTATTTATTTAAAATGTATACCAACGTGCTTAATATGTGATACTGACGTGAGACAGATGATATTCTCATTAACTATTTATTGTTGACTCTAATATATCGAAAATTATATATGTGATTAATATATGAACAAATTTTACAAGTGGGGAATGCACTGGCGTGATTATATTATTTTATATTTTTACTACGACTGTATTAATATATGCACATAATAACATAATGCACGACATTTACACTGTTAAATCCGTAGTGTCAAATTATACTCAATTTGAGTTATTTTTAACCATTCCTATAAGTCGCCACTGCTCCTATTAAATATGTCGTTAATTTAACTAATGTAATGGAATTAAATAATTTAACTTAAAAAATGTATCAATTTGACTAAAATTTAGTTTATTTTTTATTATTTGCACGTTAATGTAACCTTGTTTTAGTAAAAAATTACTTAATATTGTTTTAAATGGGTTGATTAGATGTGGTTGTTTTTTTAAATACATGTTTTGTGTTAAAATAATAAATTTTGACACACATGATAGTTAAAAATAACTAAATATTATTTAACTCAAGAAATTGGTTTAAATTTGACCCTCCAATATTTAACAGTGTACTTCGGAAATATCATCCCCATACGTATATAATAGATAATAAATTCATGTAAACGGACTTACAAGGAAACCCACACAAAGTGTCCACCTCCGATTTTTATGAACTTGTAATATGTTGTACTTTAGATTAAAATAATAGATACGTTTTTTTATTATATGTGCCCTTTCGTAAGTTTAGGTCATGAAATATCCTTTTGAAGAAAATCGGTTTTTTTCATTCAAAGGGAAAATAATAAAAACCATAAGAGTTAGAAAAAAATATATTAAATAAAAGTTGGATATTTTGAAGAGTACTTTACAGAAATTATTTTAATAATTATAATAAGGAGAAGTAGTGGGGGAAATATTAACAAAAAACTTTTTTTTCAAATAATTTCTGTAAAGTACTCTTCAAACCATTCAACTTTATTCAAAATATTTGTTTCTATCTCTTATAGTTTTCATATTCATTATATTCCCTTCGAATAAAAAAAAACCAATTTTCTTTAAAGGAGTATTTTACCCCCTAAACTTGCGAAAAGGTACATATAATAAAAAATGTATCTGTTATTTTGATCTAAAATACAACATATTACAAGTTCATGAAAATCAGAGGCGGACACTTGTGTGGGTTTCTTCTTAGTTGTTTCACCATTTATTTCACAAAAATTTATTTTTATTCGTATTTAAATGGTATACGAATGAATCTTAATATTGCATTGTGGTATCGTGTCGCAGATCACATTATTAACAAAATAATCCGCGCTGTTACGACAATACGTTAGCGAATTAGTGTACCCCAAGTTCCAAGAGCAAATTCTAGGCTTACAGTCGGATCGGCAGGTAAGGTAATGGCGTTATACCGAGTTTACTCTCCTACTTTAGAGTTCTGTAATTCGCAATTGAGATATTGGAGCACTAGCTTATTCCCTAAAGTGCCAGTACCTCATCTACTGGTATACCGAGTTTACTCTTGTACTTTGGAAACCCATGAATTTGTGATATGGTCAATAGAACAGTGTCGTCTTTCGCATCGATAAAGTTGAGATTACAATCAGGATATTTTTGCATAAAAAACTGCGATGTAAACGCTGAATACATTAATACCGAAACATAAATGTGTGCAACCGAGGAGAGACGATGTGTCCATCATTAACTGACTTCCGAAATACACTATCAGTACACTATCAGTACTGTTCTCGCGTTCCAAAATCAGTATATAAAAATAGTCACTTTCTTCACGAAAATAGTTCTAGGAAATTATTGACTTCCGACTGAGTTTGCACAATATTTCGAGGTAATGCAAACAATGCATATGACGACTGGCAGTTTCAATTAAACAAATAAGTATTACAAGAAAAAATAAGAGAGAAAAAAGAATTAAAAATAATGTTTTCAATTAAATATACATTAATAACAGTAGTCGATATATACGAAGTATTTTCGTTATCAATCGATGTAATAAAGAAATATTATCAAATTACAATTATTAGTTGCTACAATTATTTAAGAGAACGAATGCTGAAAGAAAGTCATAAAAATCACCATAATTTAAATATCATAAACTTATAATTTGAATAATATTTAATTAACATCATCATAAACCGTAATTACACTCTCCAAATTTTAGAAGAACACGGAAAAAAGGCTTGGTTGCATTAACCAAATATCTGGTCGAATATGAACGATCCAGAAATTCCGATTGAAGTAACCCGAATTCTGTTTAAGTTAACAAGATTTTTGGTTGACTTAAACAGAATTCGGGTTACTTCAATCGGAATTTCTAGATCGTTCATATTCGATCAGATATTTGGTTAATTCAACTAAACCTTTTTTTCCGTGTAAAAAAGTAAATAAAAAAGATGGTTTTGCTATATAATTTATTTTCACACACTTTTCGTACATTTATTCACATAAAACATCGTTCACGTTATCAGCTAACACCGCATGATATTACAAATTCTACCAATGCTGTCATTTCGGAAGAGAGCCGTTGTCCCGTTCACGAGACGGTGTTATTCTCCAAAATGAAAACTCGGCGAAAATCACAGGGTTCGTCTCTCAATAGTACCGCGTTATAATAAGCTTCGCTAAACAGAGAGCTCCTAAAGGCTAACGGTAACGCTGCAACTTTCATGGCGTCTGGATACACGCAGTGTCGCTGCCACTCGGAGTTATTCCGGCACGTACCGATGTTTCGATTTATATGCAGTCGTCTGGTGGCGCCGGCGAATGAACCCGCGATTCATTCGCCCGTATTGAAACGGGACCAAGGAACGACAGAGGGAGAGAAAACAACGAGCCGATGGTCGGCTGGTAGGCTGGAGAGATGGGTGGAGGAAGAAGCGGAAGTTAGGCGTTTTCTGACGAGCCACGTCGCGGGCACAATGCCATTATACTTGCGCCAACGCACACGTTAAAACTTGCTGCGTCCAATATTCACCGATACTTCCCGAAGCGTGAGATATGTGCGTTCACAGGTAAACTCAATATCACTGACTGCCGTTGTCTCGGCGCGTATTGCCGCGCTTTAAAAAGCATCGCGGCGAGCGGCTCGCGCCAAATCGTATCTCCTTCGTTCCTTGTTGGCCCTCGTATACGTCAGGAGAGTACGGGGAACAGGGTAACATGGTAACGAGAGAAGCTTGTCCGCGGACAGGCGCGTCGGACAGGTACTCTCTGTTTCTCTCTCCTCCTTCCCTCCCCCTCTCTCTCTCTCTCTCTCTCTCTCTCTCTCTCTCTCTCTCTC